ATTTCTAGAACCGATGCTAGCGAATGATACTTCTGTAATACAATCTTATATATAAAGCTGAATGTCTGTTTGTCTGTCTGTATGTCTGTCTGTCTGTATGTATGTATGTGTGTACGTATGTTCCGAATAGAAAATTCCATTTCTGAACCGATCCGGACCAAACTTGACACACATACATTTCGGGCCCCGGCGGGTGTCATAGGCTACTTTTCGTCATCGATCGATATCGATTTTATCGATTTTTATTGATTTTTTTGTAAAGTTTGAGCTACCGGGCTAGGAGTTTGCACAGGGGGGTAATCGAGCATGGGGATTCCGAATACAATATTAGTTTTCAGGTTTATCGATTACTTTTATCGATTTTTTTGCAAACTTTGAGCTACGGGGCTGGGATTTGGCACAAGGGTAATCAAGCATGCTGATTACGAGTTCGATATTAGTTTGGCGCTATTCGGCTATCCGGGCTCCAAATTTTTTTGCGATAGAGCTTGCTCAAACTTCGTGTATAAGGGTTATCTTAAAGGCAGTGTCCGGGCAAAAAGTCGATTTTGAGATTTTGTGCTTACCCGGGTCTATTCCCTATGCTGAATCCGAATATCCACCTTGGAAAACGCGAAAACGGCGAAAAAGGGCTCTGACGCAGGAGTGAAATCAAAAGTGGGCGGTGTCTTCCCCAAGGTGAATTCACGGTCCCAGCTTTCGGAGCGATCTTTTCAATCCCACTAACCGCCCTGACATCTCAACGGACCAAGTGCGAATGCATGATCTGAAGTCGGAAGCAAAAAGATCGTTCCGGGAGCTGGGACCGTGAATTCACCCTGGGGAAGACCCCGCCCACTTTTGATTTCCCTCTTGCGTTAGAGCCCTTTTTCGCCGTTTTCGCGCTTTCCAGTGTGGATTTTCGGATTCAGCGTAGCGAATTGGCCCGGGTAAGCACAAAATCTCAAAATCGAGTTTTTGCCCGGACACTGCCTTTAAGGGCCGGGCATACTTTAAGCGATGCCAAATCGCGACGCGATTTGGCAATATTCCAGGTGTCCATGACTCATTGTAAGCACATTATAAATGTACATAAGATAGGGCATTTTATCAGTTTAAGTAAGTTACACACACTATGCATGTGCAGTTTGCTAATGTTGGATCCGAAGACTTCTGGCGAATTGCCAAATCGCGTCGCGACTGAAATCGCGTGAAGTATGCCCGGCCCTTCACATACTGATTACAGATATCACACTTTCTCCGCAAAACGTCTTCCTGTGTGATTACGATAGGTGTACGGTAGGAAGTCAAAATCATGATTTCGGCTGGAGTTCGGTCCATATGGCTTATTCGACATGCTGATTACGAATATCATCTCTCTCTCTCTGCATATTGGGACCTTTTCATAGAGTTGTAGTGGTTATATGGCATGGGGTCGAAAACATAGATTTGCTTTAAACTTCGTCTAGGGTGGTCATTTAGCGCGCTGAACATGAATACCATGCTGATTTCGCAGGATAGTGCATATTCCTGGGTTACTGTGGGTTTAGATGGGTCGAAGTTCCAGATTTGCTCAATACCTTACCTGTAACGGTTCACAAGTATATCGCTTATGAATATGATGCTTGCTCGCTGTCATAACGGATTAGTGAAGTTATGGTGAGTTGCAGGGTTTGAATGGACATTTTTCACTTTCGGGCCAATTTAGATTCCAGATATTCAAGAGATGGGAAAACGGTGGTTTTACATGGCGGTCTCCAGCGCCATGCTGATAACCTGTCCCAACGCGTAACGCACGCGGCAAATCTCCCTCCCCCTGCTCTTGCTTACAAGGGAACGATACTCAATGTCCGTGGCCTTTTGAGACAAGATTTACACCATTACACTCGTCTTCGAAGTTCGAACGCTGATTCCGAATCTGACTTCCGTTTCTGCTAATCGTTTCTCTGAAAGAAGTTATGGAGGAGTTTCGAGCCAACTTTGGCCGCCCAAGGGTGTGGTCACCGTAACCGCCTCTACCGGCGCCACCTTATTGTCTAGTGGTTGGTCTGATAGCCTCATAACTTGATGCAGATGTAGGTTCGAATCCTTTTGTGTTTTTAATTGCACTGCCTCAATTAAACTTTTCCGAGATTTATTCGAAATGATCATTGGTTACATTTTAACGCAAGTATTAAACATTTTTCCAAATTTCCAAATTATTGAAGAGTAAGGGCGTTCAGTTAGCTCGAAGATGCGAAAGAAGGTTTATTGAGGTAATGCAAAACTGAAAAACACGAAAAGATTCGAACCTACACCTGCATCAACTCATGAGCCTACCGCACTAACCACTAGACCACCGATACTCTTGGCGCTCCGAGCGTATTTCAGTCGGGAGCCAAAGCCCGCACAATCCCTTAAAACATCTTTGAAGGGATTAGCAGAAACGGAAGTCAGATTCGGAATCAGCGTTCCAAGACGAGTGTAATGGTATACAACTCATCTCAAAAGGCCACGGACACCGAGTATCGTTTCCTTGTTAGGCAAAAGCCGCCGAAGGGTGTATCGCGCGCGGCAGTGGTCCTATAAAAGAAAGCATTACGGTCGTGGGAAACTTTTATACCACAGGGATTGCCTTCATCGTGGGGATTGAGCACGATATTCTTGAAACAACACTTCAGGTAATTTTCTGCCAAGGTTTCAGGCAGGTTCATGATTTTTACCCGCTGCCACGCAAAATGACTACGATATTCGTCATCAGCGGCTTCAATAATCCCGATGTACCGACTTTAAGCATGATCCATCACAAAAACATTTTGGGGCCGGATAGCCGAATAGCGCCATCAGTTCTCAGAATTATCCTTACTTTTACCGGTTTTATTGCTTTTTTTGCAAAGCTTGAGCTACGGGGCTGGGGTGTTGAAGGAGGTAGGTGGGCATGCTAATTACTAACACAGCGGGAATAGAGAATTACATGTAGAAGTGGGTACAATGAAAAGCTTTACAGGGATAGGGATAAGACCTTAATCATAGCATTGATAGGGCCGGGCGGAGCCGGGTAAGCCAGCTATTGATTCATATTTTGAAGGTTCAAGTTCTGTTGCTCCCGTTTGCAAGCATCATCTTCAAGCATTTTACATAGGAATCTTATAGCATAACATTGTTTCATAGTCTTTCCTTTCTACCATTTTGTAAATTGTTCCTTTTCTAAAACGTCGCCCACATTAGTCAGCCATAAGTAGCAAAAACTGAAAAGATCAATAGTGACAAATGCATGAAGAAAACCCGAATGAGACCGTTCTGCAAAAGCTTGGCACATTTTCCAAATCGCAATATTTCATATTTTTGTTTTGATGGAACGCAATTACAAAAGCAAAATACCCTATTTTCGGCTTATAATCCGCAGCTAATAAAAGCCTCACCCGCCGCAACGAACAATGGCGCGAAAGTGTCTTCGAGCATATTTTATTCAAGAAACTAAAGGTTTGGTGCAACTTGTAAATGCTTCTCACTTTGCATGTTCATGTCTTAGGTAATATTTCACTCTTTTCAGAGGTTCGGACAATTTTGCAGTCAAGTGTTTGGGTTGTATTTTCTTTCCTCAAAAACACAGTAAAGTTGACGGTGCTTTTTTTCGTTTTCAATGATGAATGGTGTTAAATGGTCGTTCGATTTCAATGCTACTGCTGATACTGCAGTGGTGCCTTCAATGTTCTTACAACAAAAAAGCAGAAAATCACTATCAGGTTACTAGGTAAAATACAGTGATTAGCTGCTTGTGCGGCTTCGCGCATCGCTACCGCCATCGCACCTTCTCAGACAGTCGAATGGATACCTTCGGTGGGCAAATGGCGCGAGTCTGCCAACTGGAGCCCTGCCATTTCACCCTCGTGCTCCGAGGCTCTCCCAAACCTGGCGCACCTATAGCGCAGAGATTTGCGCGTCCCGGAGAGGGGACTTATTCGTTCACCGTAACGTCACCGTGACGTCACAAGCAGGCGAATGGGACCCCTCTCCGGGACGCGCAAATCTCTGCTCCGGAGGTGCGCCAGATTTGGGAGAGCTCCGGAGCACGAGGGTGAAATGGCAGGGCTCCGGAGCGCTCCAGAGCGCGAAGTGGCAGACTCGCGCCATTTGCCCGCCGGAGGTATCCCTTCGACGTCTGAGTTAGCCCGCGGGCGATGAATATAATGAAAATAGGGTAGTTCGTTCGCATTTTATGAGGTGTTACCATTGCAAAAGCTCTGAACTGTCTGAAATGCATGGCCTTTGTTCACTAATGAGAAAAGCACCAATACGTCAGATGGGAAAGTTCTGAGGTTACAGAAATGAATTGTCGAGCTCTTCACTGTAACCTAGAAATTTGAAGCTAAGTTACCCCCTCGCGAATCAATCAACCGCTTCGGTGTCCTTGATTAAACCATCTAGAGTCTCATTTGGATGCACGTTCGAAAGAATTCTGATCTCTTGCTTTTTCCGTACACCTCCCAATTCTCGTTATACCGATCGTGACACACTTTGTTGGTAAGTATTCATCGACAAAGTGGCACAATATCATACTCAGCCACAATATCAGCTTTTGCACCTTATGTAGGTGAGACCGTGGACATCGAAGCCCACAAACAGTAAAACTGCTAAAATTGTTCTTAAGCTGTTGCCATAAAAACTCATGGCATAACAGGAAAAAGAACTACCAATTTGTGCATTCACCATTTTGCCAGGCCCGCTTCATACACAAATTTGGTTCAATCGGACCTCCTCGGTAGTCTTGCAAGTGATTTGTATGTTGTTCGTGTAATAGTTGATTGAATGAACTAGACCTCAGTTTATGATAGAGGAGTTTTCTAAGCTTCCTTCCAAAATCAACAAACTCACCTTATCGCTAGAATCAATCTTGCTTTAGACTTGCCACATCCCTTTTTGCGTCTTCAAATGCATAATCTCATAAAAGCTGAGCGAAGCAAGCAGCCCTCATTTGACTAGCGAGGTTTATTGGATTATATGAAGAAAGACAATATAATCGAGTACTATGACTAGACTTCATCTGGATTAGCGAGCCGAATTATTCCTTTCATTTCGGCGATAATTCCGCTCTTCAGTAAAGACAACGTACAACCAAAGAGGATTTGCAGCTGCTGGAACTACCACATGCAAACAAATATACTCTTCCAATCAAAATATTGTTACACAGGCATGTATGGTAGCTGATATAATCATGACTGCAGTAGAATTCAAAAAATAGATATCTAAAGAAAAAAAATGCAAACCTAGGCAACAGATCACATTGAGCAGAAGTGGGAAATTATTGAACACATTGATATACAAACAATGACAAGAATATCGCTGATAAGCAACATGCCTACCACCGGCGCCGCCACTTCACCTGAATTTCAGAAGAAAAGCATAGGGTCGCTTGACGACATCTTGTGTGATAGTGGTACGGGGCTTAGCGCCCCTTTGCCGTTGACTGATATGTCGTCCAGATATTGAGCGTACTGAAATGAGCAAGTCGCTTACAGCGAAAGAAATTTGCGCTTCGCTGTAAAAAATTGTTGTTTTCAAATCAAAAAATAAATCCGAGGTAGTCTTTAGTTGTAGATGCTAAGTGCATAAAAAAGAAGGAACAAGAGATTTATCTCATGGTTTGTGCTCAAAGTGGGGGATATGGTGGTCCAAGACGTAGTTGGAATCAATGCAAGTTTGCGGCAGGGTAATACAATGTATGAGAGATATCACTCGATAGAGCCAAGCTCAAAATGGCAGTAGAATGCAAAAACACTCGAATCATGTAAAATGGAAGCAGGACCTGAAAAATTTTAAACACATGAGATCCTCATTGGAAAAGATCCTGCGAACGCCCCATCGTGGTCGCACATACACCATACGCTAATAATTTCTGGAAAAACGACGCATAGCCCGATTCATGTGACATCACCGTAGCATGGCCATATCTCCATAGTGAATGTATTCTCAATCCAAGGGCACCATTCGACTCAGCTCGGCGCGAATCTTCTCACTCATAGATGTGCTCGGTTGGACACAACACTAAGCCTAATTCCACGAATCCTTTCAGGTTTTTGCTTACGGACTTTACCCAGTGAGTGCAATGAAAAGCACACTGAGTTACCTACCGCCAGCAAAAATCTGACGATTCGTAAAATTTGACTTTCAACTGTGTCTAAGCGGGCACTTCTGTACCTCGAAATCGGTGCCCTTGGAATAACATTCACTCTGAAGCGAGATATGGCCACACTACGGTGATGTCACATGAATCAGGCGATCGTGCGTCGTCTTCTCAAAAATTAGAGTGATATTGTACGTACATATGTCTACATCAGATGTTTATATGTACATAAAGTAGCCAGATTTTCTTTGGCTACAATTGAGAAGAAAACTGGCGTGCCCTTGCCGAAACAATGCTGGAATGTTTTCCCATGAATCTAAACTATAATACAGCCTTTGTAAGTACCAACAAACTGTTAGCCTTCTATAGACTTCATTTGACGGGAAATGTCGAAGTTGGTAGGAAAAACAAAAAATGGCGACATTTTCGTAGTTTTTGCTTATTTTTCTTTCTCGACTTTCAGCCATCAAAAAAAATTTAAGACTCTACTCATTTTTATCTGATGTGGCGAGCATAGTCGTGACCAAGTGAGAGGTTCGGCGTGATTTCTTTGGGCGCAAATCGATTTTTAAACATTTGAATTTTATTAGACTCTATTTCAAACTTCATGTATAGACGATTTTGCGATTTTTGAATTATAATCTCGTAGAGCTTGCTTTGCTTATCGATAGGTTTTCAACATTGTATCCACTCTGCCGCAGTATAGCGTAAAAACTGAGTGCTTTCCACTATCTTCTTTCTCATGTATAAGGAGAAATAAAGCGTTATCGAAATGCTGTTTGTCTGCATTACAGGCATAGCGATAGATTTCGCGAAAATGATTTCGGCGGTTTAGCCCTACATCAATTTCAATCTACTAGATTCTAATAAAGGAACATACTAGACCTTCCCAGTCTTATCAACACCTGCAACAATGCTAGGACTAATGTCTTGCGCAAATCGGAGTTTTCCTTCCTTTTTCATCTCACAATTTTTTTTTCTGGGAGGGTGTTTCCAACTTCCGCGGGCCTTACAGCAAGTATAACTCGGAAATGATGAATCGAGACGAGTTTATGATACCACTAGCTGGCTTACCCGGCTCCGCCGTATGTTCCGAATAGAAAATTCCATTTCTTAACCGATCCGGACCAAACTTGGCACACATACCCTTCGGGCCCCGGCGGATGTCACAGTCCACTTTTCGTTATCGATCGATGTCGATTTTATCGATTTTTTGCAAAATTTGAGCTGCGGGGCTGGGAGTTGGCAGAGGGGTGTAATCGAGCATGCCGATTACGAATACAATATTAGTTTTCGAAACCGTGCATTACTTTTATCGATTTTTTGCAAAATTTGCGCTAGGGGGCTGGAATTTGGCAGGGGGGTGTAATCGAGCATGCTGATCACCCCCACGGGGATGACCAGCATGCTCGATTACCCCCCTGTGCCAAATCCCAGCCCCGTAGCTCAAACTTTGCAAAAAATCGATAAAATCGGTAAAAGTAATGCACGATTTTAAAAACTAATATTGTATTCGGAATCCCCATGCTCACTTACCCCCCTGTGCCAACTCCCAGCCCCGTAGCTCAAATTTTGCAAAAAATCGATAAAATCGATATCGATCGATACGAAAAGTAGCCTATGACACCCGCCGGGGCCCGAAGTGTATGTGTGCCAAGTTTGGTCCCGATCGGTTCAGAAATGGAATTTTCTATTCGGAACATACGTACATACATACAGACATACAGACATACAGACATACAGACAAACAGACATTCAGCTTTATATATAAGATATGCAAGAGAACTAAATGCTCTGAGGTGCATATATGAAAAAGTTTGCTTTTTCCAAAGAAAGGGATCTTGGAAACAAATTTCATTCTCGAAAAGAATTTCCTTAGTTTTTCTTTTTGGCAGCTCTTTTCGAACTAACTGTTTCCTTCATTACATGCTCTACGTTCTAAAAGTGGCAAAAAAAAACTTTTTCTTCAATACTTGATGCTATCCATGTTCTATAAGGAACATGGATAGCATCAAGTATATGATACCTATGTAAGGAAACTGGTGAGGTGGTTAAAAGGTGATTGAATACTCCTCAAGCATTGCTTTGATCGCAATTCATTGAAAACTTTTCTGCATTTTCTTAGCTGTAGCTTACCTATGAAATTGTCCAACAATTCTTCTAAGATTTGAATTTTTATCGCAATAAGCCGTAAATTCTTACATTTTTGATAACATTCGCAGTACTCTTGATGGGGCGAAGCAGACTCTGAAGTTTTAAACATGCACACCAAATTTGATCCTAGCAAAATTTGACGCCAAAATTCGTAATCAAAATTGCGATTCTAGCTTCAATTAAAAAAAGTCGGATTTTCGTCAAGAAAAATACCACTAATAACTAATTCGCAGCATATGCTTTCCGTATCAGACATTGATATGTACATTTACTGTTTTTTTCCATAGCTGTGTAACTGAGAAAATGAAATTCTGCGTGTTTTTGTCAAATGAATGCTGTACTTCTCAATCTTTGGTATGAACCTTTGTAAGTGCTATCATGATCAAAATTTCTACGTGCTTTAGTTTTTGATAAACAACAAATTTCGCATTGAAGACCACAAAAAGGGGCATTTTCTGGATTTTTCGTGATTATGTCCATTCTTTGTTTCTCGATCTCTCATGTAACAACCGTACATATAAATATCTGATGTGGACAGTACACGCACGAACAAGTTGGAGGGAGTGGGCAGAAATCCGATTTGGGCGGTCAGAAACATTGAGCTTTGACTTGAACTTCGTTTCAATCTTTTATGAGTTTCGAAGGTAATCTTAGAACGCTTGCTTTGCTTATCAATTAGTCACCTAAAACTAATTTCAAATGCCTACTGTTGAGATTATCAAGGCTATCACTGCAGGGACTTCCAGTCGCAAATAAATTTGTGGTAACGATTTGTCAGAATTTACTCTATTACTTTATTCCATGTCAACTCACCATTTGAGCTCCTACGTTGTCCTCAATCCACCGCATCATATGAACATTACAAGGAACGTAGGGCTGTCGTAACAGATGTTCTTGTACTTCAAGAAATCGTTTCAGATCTTCCAACGTGATCCGGTCTTTGCTCGGCCTATCAATAGATGCATTACAATTCTATAATCGCTTGTGCCAGCCAAAATTACCTTGTCTTTTTCAAAGCGGCGATTATCCTCATTGCCTCTCGGATATCGTCGCTCATGTTGGCAAATCCTCTTCTAGCACCTCGTATTTTCCTGCCGAAGTAGTGCAGTTTAGTGAAGGTCCGCTTGAGCGTTGAAGAACAGAGATCCAATGATGCAGTGATAACTGCGAGACCAATAATCACATATACCACAACAAACTGAAACACGCTTTGTTGTTCTCACGATCAGTTGTGCTTTGAGAACGTTCTGATGCTAGTTCAACTGAGCTGCCTTGCGCAGCACGTCAACGAAAGTTAACTCACAGCTAGGTAGAAGTGGCTCTTGACGTAGATATTGCCAAGTCCAATGGTAGTGATAGTATTGAAGGAGAAGAATAGACCATGAATGAAAGACCTGGAAACAAGGGCAGAGGTTTATCAATAGGTTGGCGCACAAGTTTTGCAACTTATTTCGTGTTTTTCCCGTTTTAACTGTGACGCAATCATTTTTGGGCAGATGGTAGGCTATAAACCTGCGCAAACACTTTGGTTCTTGGTAATGAAATGGAGATTTACTCATTTTTCGGAACCTTGTCGAATTTGAAATTTCAAGGGTAGGAAAACCGTACAAGCCATTTTCAGTCTGAATCAAATAAATCAAGCCAAAACTGTATAGATAATTAGAGTTTTCTCTATCAACAATCTGGGCATAGTTTCGGCTTGATATGTTTGATTCAGACTGAGAGGCTTTATTTTTGGTTTTCCGACCCTTGGAATCTCGGATTTGACCAGCTTCCGAAAAATGAACAAATTTCATCCAGTTCGAAACCAAAAATCAAACTGTTTGCGCAAATTTGTAGCCTACTATCAAATCTACATTATATCCAAAAATGAATGCGTCATAGCCAAAAACAGAAAAGTTACAAAATAAGTTGCAAAATTTATGTGCCAATCTAATAGATGAGAAAATCCAGATATATTTTTTTGCCAGAAACATTACTGGAGTCTATGCATCTAGGTACCGCAGTTTGACTTGTGAATACTTGTGCTATCAATTAGCTTATAACGTCAAAGGATTTGTTTCCAGTCACGCTGAGGTCTCCCCATAGTCACAAAAGTTCTCAAAGACGCTAAGTGACTTACCATATCGGTCCTTTCTCAAATGAGTTGAAAAGCAGGCTGCCGATACAACAATATCCTATTATGAGAGCAAAATATGATGCTATGGGTAACTGCAAACGATCTTCATCGTCCTCGGAGGTTTCCTCGTCGGATTCTCGACGTTTTTTCTTTAATTGTCTAAACGAAGATCACGAAGACGCTATAGGATTTATTGTTTGGGGATGATCGGAACCTACAAAGAATCTATCGAATCAACATCACCATTGAACATATTTGTACGCATCAGCTCAATAATTGAGGCAACAAAATGCCAAAATTGCAACAGCTTCGCATATGACCTGCAAACACAGTGTGAAACTTTTTCTTTAGCTATATGATCAAAGATGGTAGTGCTTCACTTACCTAATTACAATTTCTGACAAAAATTTGCCTATATCTGCAGCAGTTATAAACATGAGAGGAATTCCAATGAGTCCAAAAAACACTGTAAAAATGCGGCCAGGGTCCGTAGTAGGTGTAACATGGTCATAACCTGTAAATGCACACTATCTGATGGACTTCCAAGAAGAGCAATGCATTAAAAAGGTGCTTAGGCAATAGACTAGATTCGACTTCTTCATACTTCCCTTGTTACAGTCAGTCATAACTAGAATTTCACTAGAAATAGGGATAAAATTCTAGAATCAGTGTGATGTAGACGTACGTACCGCGCACTTTTTACCTCTATCTTCCGATGTTGTAGGAATTATTAGGTTGTAACAGAATTAATGCAGGTTTTGAATTCCAACTGCTATAAGTCATACACTTCTCATTTCTAAGTAGGTTGCAAAATACCATTCAATAGAGCAAAGCAATCTCTACAAGGTGGCAATCTTGATTTAGCAACAACTCTGATCCACCACGAGTTTCGAGCCAAAAACTAAAAAGATTCAACTGTCCGGAAAATTGAGAAAAATCGTAACTCAGTTCCTAAAAAACCTAAAAAAATTCTAACTTGCTCGTGTAAACACTATTCACATAAGACATCTATATACGCCTTTGCCTTATTTTTTTCTCTGTTAGAAATCAAGTAAACGGAAATTTTCGTGCATTTGCCAAAGTGTTGCGGTGCCCTTTCCACATAAGTAGTTGTATACTACAAATCTGTAAAAGCACAAACGTAAATTTTCAGCTCTCTACAAGCTTTAGTTCTCGAGAAATTTGAATTTTAGCTTGGGCCATCTGACTAGGGAAAAATATTCGATATAACTCGAGAACTAAAGCTTGTGGAGAGCTGAAAATCTGCGTTAGTACTTCTATAGGTCTGTAGTATACAACTACCTATGTGGAAAGGGCACAGCATCACTTTGGCAAACGTACGAAAATTTCCGTTTTCCTGATTTCTAACAGAGAAAAAAATACGGCAAAGGCATATATAGATATCTTATGTGAATAGTGTTTACGTGAGCAAGTTAGAATTTTTGTAGGTTTTTTAGGAACTGAGTTACGATTTTTCTCAATTTTCCGGACAGTTGAATCTTTTTAGTTTTTGGCTCGAAACTCATGGTGGATCAGAGTTATTGCTAAAGCAAGATTGCCATCTTGTAGAGATTGCTTTGCTCTATCGAATGGTGTTTTGCAACCTACTTAGGAATGAGAAGTGTATGACTTATTGCGGTTGGAATTCAAAACCTGCATTAATTTTGTTACAACCTAATACTTCCAATACAAAGGGGAAAATGGTGTAAACGATCAAAAAACTATCAAATTGCTGAATTTGCGATGAACCCGATGGGAAAAACAAACACACTCGGGACCACACTAATTGATTTTGATCTTTACGATTTGGATATGTAAGAAGTATAGAGGAATATAAAAGGTAAGAATGCTGGGAAGGGAGGGGCGGGGGGGGGGGGGACCAGAGTTTACGAATTTATTGAAGTTCCAAGTACTTGCATCGTTTCACTCTCAATCACTTGCACATCTCGACCGCAACGAATTTGTGCTCAGCTAGTCAAGGAGAGTGTATTGTTGAAACTAGACCCTCGTTATCTAATGACGGCAGGCTAGCGAAAAAAAACATACGTTCTAATTTTCAATAATAAAATTTATCTCCCTCCGATTGTTCCTGCTTTGTCAAAAAGCTTCAAGTTCAAGAAAGTTTGCCACTTATAAATAATTTATTTTTTCGCTGCAATCATGATCTGGTAGACTCCCGGAACTTGAAGGAGTCATCGCCGAGTTCAAGATGTGTTGAGAAGTAGGTGGCCGCGGCGTGCAACTACCGTATCCCCCAAACAGGTTACTGTATTGCAGATACGAATAGACGCATCCCAACGATCTGAGAGTATTGTGCCTATTGGAATATCTGTTTGCTCCGGGTGTAGGGCGTTAGGCGACAAACCCAATTTTTTGGACCCCAAAGAACTCCCCGTGCAAAACGTCTCCTCCGCCAAAAACAGGGGGGTGGGGGTGGGGCGAGATACATTACCCGACGCCAATGAAAAAATGGTGCATAGTTTTGAATTACGGGATTTACGTTGCTTGCGTTTTGCACGTTTTGTCGCCTAACGCTTGCTCTCCGTTTGCTCCAAAGGAAAGGGGATGGTTCAGCGCAAACACGGGAGTTCAAAAAAGTGCTTCTGTGTGCAGAAATCTCAAAAGATGTCGTAGCTGCTTCAAAGGATGACTTGCATCTTGATGTTCAAGTTGTGGAAGATAAGCAAAAACAAATACTGACCCGTAGATGTGATAACAGTCAATGCATAAAGGACAGCTGCGGCGAACGACCATCTGAACAATTGCTGTTTTTAGCTGTATCTTTTGGTGTGTTCAAATAATTACCGCGTTGTCATGTCTTCTTCGATATCGTTCCACAGCTGTCCACTCTCCGTAAACCTATCGTCGTATTCATGTGTTCTTGATAATATACGTAACAACGGCCGTAAGCGAAGGTCGACCTGAAGGGGAGTATAAACAATGAAAGGTTTTCTGCTGCATGGACGCCACTATTTTTAGCTGAATGCGTATTAGGCTCACCTGACTAGAGTTGATTTTTGTACCAGAACACATAGCAGTTGATTCGTTGATTATTTTGTCATACATTGTGTAGATCCTCTGTAGTTTCTCCTAAAAAAGAAAAGGATCTAGAGATTGCAAGACTAAAGTGGCATATGCTGCATTAGCAAGTTCTATTGAAGAATTACACTTTAAGATAGTTCACTGGTCAAAAAAATATTCTAGAATAATTTTGCTGTTATCATTTTCTTCCAAGGCAATTAAGTACGTAGTGTACTGGTGCTTCTTTTGCCTGTCTTCAGATGCATAGTGAGCATTGTCTACTTGAGCTGATGTAAGCGCGCCAAAATTCGCTCAAACATTAATCGGGGAGGTTATTGAAATAATGTTCGTGTAGTTTTATCTCAATCTTTTCTACATTTTCTTGTCTATAATAATCTGCATTTGCTTCTTGTGTCGTTTAACTTCATTCCCATTGAAAATATGTCTACACAAGCGGAGAGAGGGCTGTTGAAGATGAAGAGGAAGGAAAAGCTTACATCAAATTGTCTTCAAATTCTGCAAAACGCGGTCCGAACCATTCTGCTCGTTTTCAGGAAAACCCACCTCAGCACCCAGGGTTCAAGAAGTGGTAGATCGAACGTAGATATTACCGCGAACACACTCAAAAATGATCATCCAAACGCGCATCCGCTGAACTTCTCCGTAACCGAGACAGTGCAGTGTCCATTTGCTGCAGGACCGTCTCCGACACTTTTGAAGGCAATGTCCGGAAACTCGATTTCTAGGAAATCCACTAAACGGGGGTTATCCGCAACGCTGAATCCGAAAATCCACATTGGAAGGCGCGACGGCGAAAACATACGGTTTTCAAAGCCACACAATTTCAAATTCGACGGTCTCCACCAAGGCAGAGACGCAGAGTCGCTGCGGGACCCTACATTTTAACTGTGGCGGCATGCGTACTCTGCCGCATAGCGGGAATTCGGACAGCTTGGAGGACCCCGCCCCAGGGCGTAAGTTTCCCCACTTTCCGGTCGTTTTTCTTGCTTCAGGTCGAGCGTTATGACGTCGCACTTGCGCGATGTTGTGTCTGAGGAGGGCCACTTTCGCATAACACTGAAGTTTTAAAACCCCCATCTTGCCGGACACTGCCTTTAAGTAGTACAATCACCTGCGACTTCAAAAGATAAAGGAGATGGCGCTCTCCAGAACGACATGAGAGAAATTGTTAACTGTAGAGCAGTTTTTCAATTGCCGAAATGAAGACATCTCCAAGACGATACCAAAAACAATGCTAGGCTCGTACCGAGAAATGATTACAAGGGTCACTCGGTTCCAGTGGCGGTCTGGGAAGCTATCACATCAGATAACAAAATGCTGGTGTTTTTGGGCCACACAGCATCACCACATACTCGGAAGACGACTTAGAGAAGGAATAGTTGCCATGGAGCGACATTTGCTATGGCAGTAGGAACTGGCGCTCCCAGCAAAATAGCGACGATGATTTAGTTCCACAGCTACTCAAGAAGGGACCCGTATTCGCCGAATCTGAATCTCAGTTCTTGACGCTGAGACCTGCGCTCCCCATCAATAGACTGCTAGTTAAATAAAGCTAACAGGTCTTTGTTCTTACAAATGCAACTTTGAACCGAGTATATTCCACTTTCTTCCGATAAATTTATATCCTTTTCATTTACGTTACCTCGACGTGGGGGTTGATTATGGAACAGAATTTGGAATCTGAGACGATGCGCCTCACACCAAAAAAGCAAAAGAGAGCTGCGTACGTGTATCTTAGCAGCCACACCATATTTGCGAATGCATAAACGGCTATCAGATTATCACATAAAAAGTGTAATGGGCATGAATAAAAAAGCAACTTGTTCTTAGACAATGACGATAATGAAAAAAAACACACACTGCTGCCCTAAAGCCTTTTTTGCTTGCAATGCTCTAAAACGGCATGCGCGCTACAAGCTGGTGGTGGAACTTGGGGAATTACTTTGAAAATTCAAATCCAAATGATAAGCATTATTTTGTTGTCGAGTTACTCGACCATTTATAGAGTGAGGAATTCTGTCCTTCTTTCTTTGAGTCCTACATTCTATATAGAAGGGGAGCAGAGAAATGCGTATGAGGCAATGTGTATGAGGCAAAAACCCAGCTTAGCCATTACAAAAATGAGAACTGGTAAGTAGTAAGATGTGAGCAGAAAAAATTCATGAATCTAATCGAAAACTGTGTCATCTCAGATTCAAAGGAAAAAGGCTAACCTTCCGACTTTGCAGCTCGTGGTCCGCTTCCAACCATATAAACATTATTGCTCCCATTGCAATATAAGACAATAATAAAACATTCAAACCGACATGAGGTAGGAGGATTTTTAAGAGCTGCAAATAATGATTGAATTTTTTCCGAGCAATTTTTATGTAGCGAAAGCTTTCCGACCTTTAGCGCCCTCTTCCACAAAGGAGGTTTTGGGATAGAGTCATCTTCGAGCCCTTCATCACCTTCTCTTCGAAATTCGTCCCATTTCACTCGTCCGATGTTTTCTGAACAGTAGCATTAGGCGTTGGCAAAAAACAATCAGACTACATAAAATAGGAAAATGAAGACTTAAGTGTTTCTCCCTTAATCTTTTAGAAGAGTTTTCAGAGTCGCACCACTGCATTCATAGTGAGATTAGGTACCCTCTGGACAATTAATATGCCGTAAAAGATTGAGAAGCAATGCTATATAAGCGCTGTACCTCTGACGAGTTCTGGAAGATAATCCTCGGGTAATCTGGAGACAAAAGCCAAATCGCTGAATGGAAGACGAAGGGTGGGTTTTTGGACGACTTGAAAGATACGACCTACTCCTAGAGAGCCCATTCGACTCTATGTCCATAAACGAGTACCTCGATCTTCAGGGCAGGACAAATCTATACTATAACGGAGATCTACTACTTGGAGTTGTGGTGAATTGGTGGTTTCCGGCTGAAATCCGAGCTCAGTCATCCTAGCGCACTTCTATATGGGAAACAAGCTAATAGAACTCCTATCGCTGCAAACGCCTCACCGTCGCGACTGGCTATTTGATCAAGTTTATTCAAACACTGAAGCTTAACGCCTTTGAGCAAATTCAGAACACGTTGTTTCTACGACTGAATGACAGGGTACATATTTTCGTCGAAGAAATTGCAAAACCCCCATTGCACAGCCACAGGATTTTCAAAAAACTCCCCGCTACACTACCTTTTGGAATCTAAAAGTTTCCGACATCTGACTGCCATATCAAAGCCATAATAATGCAGCAAAAACCAAACTTTTCCATCATTGAAGCTGCGACCCTCAGATTTTCTTAATGATAGAGTAAATATACGCTGGACTCAAGTTTGTGCAAAAAATACGTTTTTACTAAATGTCGCGTTTTCGCTGCTTTAGCTAGTTCAGAGGAGGAAGAAGATCTCTGATGAACTTATTGAGAGAGTTGTTCAATACTGCGCTGCATTAGTTCTTGTGGGTACCGAACGTAATGCCAATGCCCTTTTATGCGATTTTACCACACTATTTATCTCAAGAGCATCAGGAAAATCAGGAGCGGCGCGGCGAACAAAAAGCTAAATTCAAATCTCCCTTAGTAAAATCCGTCCAGAAAAGCCAGAGCGATCGACGCGATGTACAAACTTTGATAAAGGGTGGGGTGAGTGAGGAATTAGTACTTCATCGTACAAACTGTGACTAAAATTTATGCTAAAGAGTGGATGACACTCGTTATATCCTGTTATCACGTACGACTGGTCTCTTGGTAGTCAACTTGATTCTCGGACTTCTTAATCAGAAAAATTGTAAACATATTCATTGCAGAGTGGCCTGTGATTCGAGCTGTTTTCCTGGCATTGCATTTTCAGTTCCATTTTTACTGTCTTTAAAGAATACGAACATATACTGAAGGAAGAATTAATTACGCTGTTCGTGTTTATTCTGACAGCGAAATACAGGGTTGATAATCAACGGAAGTAAGATATTATGGGAATACTCACAAAGAGATTTTTTTGCTGGCTCGCAAATGGTTTCAAACGAATGCCAGACCAGTGAAACAGAAGTATTCACCTACGCGTGTCTACGTGATGGTATAAGAAATTCGTTATGGTTTGGGGGCCAAGATACAGGGCGGATTAATGCAAATGCAGCTCTTATCAGATAAAAAACAGCTGCTATTTATCACTTAAGAAAACAAGAAACCGTGGTTCCTGAAAATCTCCAGCAATCTTATATAATATACAAGGTGTCCCAAAGGTAGTATGTACACACTTTTTGATCGTTATCTCACTTCCCACTTTTTCAGAATTTCAAGTAACGCCTTTAGAGCTAGCTTCAACTTAAAGGCAGCGTCTCGGCAGAATTCCGCTGTTAAGTTTTTGACCTGTTCGGAGCCTTTTCGCCATGAGGAACCTATATTTGGGTTTTTTAGCCCATGAAAATCGAAAATGTGCCTTTTCGATTTTCAGGTCTGCGCCCAATGTCCCTCTCTCGTTTTGGACTCCGCCTACTTACACGTATTTTCCACTGAATATGGACCTGAAAAAATTCGATAAAACCTCATTTTCGCCATTTTCTTGCGCTGAAGCTGAGATAGGGGGGGGGGGTTCCTCATGGCAGGATCCTTAAAGTGAAAAACTAGAAAACGAAGTTTTCCCATGCGCTACCGTAATCCTACAGTAATGGAGAAAAATCGATAAGTTACTCCATACTATAAATCTAAGCTGAAGCCAGCTCTACATATTGGCACCCAATAATCAGAAAAAGACTTTCGGAAGAGAGAGATATCAACACACAAACAAGGTGTGCCTACTTTTGGAACACCCTGAGTACATTGATCTGTTGCAGTTGTATTGACATAATTTTTTGCGGGCCATCCCGCGAAACCAATTTTCTCGCTATTCGCAAAGTAAAATGGTGATCCAAAGAATGATGAAGTATTGAGCGCAAAGATCAATGTGATACCAACACGATACCCTTTATTTTGCAAGTGGAGATGAATAAATGGATTCAATGCTCATGTTCAGAATGCTGATTGCGAGAAGTTAAGTTCACATCAGTAACCAGTATAGATTATTCATTTGGAATAGATGCAAAGCATTTTCTAGTTGGTGCAAAAGTTCTGCTGTACCATTTTTGGAAAATCGTGACTTCTTGCTCAGTCGCGGTTTTGCGCAAGCTCAGTTTGGATAGAAGAAAGCATATTTTTGTAACAGTTACTTTGTTGCTCTATAATAAGGGGTAGCTTTTAAGATAGAAGCAGGAGAGTGAAATCAATTCAGGTTCGATTATTCAAAGTTAAATTGCCAAATAAGACTAGCGATAAAAGTGAGCAGGCAATGGTGTAGCTCTCAAAAAAATGCACCCTTTCCATTTATGCAGAGTCTATGTTAAATGCATTTCTGTGGTTTTTGGGTAAGCAAGGTTGATTTTCGGGTAAGTTATGCTGCAAAAAATTAATTGTACCTCTTTTAATCTATCCCTTCCAATATGCAGTTTTAATGGAGCATCTCTGCGAAGAGTTATGATTTTCGAAAAAAAAGTCGGAAAAATTAAATTCGTTGTGTGCTGCTCACTCAAAAATCACTACACTTCATAGAGATGTTCATTTAACAAACTCTACCCAGTTGGGAAGGTGTATCAAAAAAACTTACTTTGCTGGTTGCTGCGATTCTTATCACAAGTTTCAGACTTTTAGCAGCCTAGCTCTAAATAGTTGAACCTAAAGTAATTTTATTCTCGTGCTTCTATCGCAAAAGTTACCCCTTATTAAAGACAGCAAAGGCACATAACAAAGAAAAGGGTTTGCTCTGTCTAGAAAAATTAGGATTGTGCAAATCCGTCAAGTGAGCAAGAGGTTATAATTTTTTGAAAATGGTGTGACAGAACTTTTGCACCAATCAACGTAACACTTTGAGATGCTTAGAGAATGACTGCATACGGCTCACTGTTTTTTAGTTGAGCGGGTCATGTCTAGTCAGCAAGAAATGCTGTCTAAATCTCAGTTTCTGTTAACGACATTTTGATGAGGTTCCTGGAGCTATGAGGGAAAATTCAACCTAGAATCCTCCTCTCTGGATGGAATTCTGTAGCTTAAAGTGCAGAGTGATTACCGACTAACGGGTTTTCCTCCTAAAAGTTCACTTTTCTTGAAGCATGAGCATAACAAACTGAGCACATTGTTGTGAGACACCTTTACCGAGTTTCTGTTCTCAGTTGTCCCAGATGGCTGCTTGGGTGTGATAAATCCCTTTAATCTGCAAAAGTCAGCAAGAAATGCTGTCTAAATCTCAACATCTAAAAAATTTTCAGTTCTTGCAAGAAATCTTTGCAAGTATTACGTTATATCTAAAAAAGAATAGATTCCGCTAAAGTCCAAAATTGATTTTCTTGCTAGCATGAAATGAATATCTAGTATTAGGTTGCCGGAGACTACTATTATATATCTGATAGATTCATAGCACATAATATTTGCAATCTCGAGATTATATAAACAGTAATCAAACTGTCAGGCAAGGAAATGAAATGAACATCACAAGCTGACTTTGATCAAAGCCGTTCATAATTTTGAACAGAAAGTATTATGTGACAGAATCCTTCGTAAAAAAAAACTGCTGGTATGGTCTAAAAAGACATTCTGTGACCCTTAAATTTCTAGACTTTTCCGTCAATAATGACATCTCTTATGAAATATGGCGCGTCGTATAGGTGCACGCGTTCACTGAGGTTGATAAAGTGACGGGAACAGAGCATCAGCTGGCTGAGCTATCTTTTTCAACCTGAAGTAAACAAATTCACCGCATTGCAGAGTGAACAGCAACACAGGAGTAATAAGTAAAGAAAAAGTTACTGAAGTAGCGTTTGCGATTCTCTTGTAGATACAGGTAAGTTAGCATTTTTTGATGTCTTATAGGAGCGGGGAGTGATGGGCGGAAGAGGTTCGATTATTGCCAGATGACCATTAGATAGCACATGTTTAGTGTCCTATAACGCTTAAAAACGACTCAAGCTACAAAGAGATACGTTAGTTGTTCAGCGTTATAATCACAATAAGTTTGTAACATAACTGTAGAAGGTTAATAAACAATGAAATTGTAAGTAAGAGTTTCGTGATATTTGGTTAAATTTTCCAGCAAAAGCCGTCAAAACTCAGCAACGATAGCTTGAAAAGCTAGTAAGCCAAAGCAGTCCTTGTTATATTTCAGCGGCACACATAGTGCTGCATTGGTGTTACAAGTTGACCGCGAAAAATGCGGCTCTTGACCGTCTTCCAAGAGTAATGACAGTGAAATGATGTAGAGAATGAATGGAGAGCAGAGTAAGAGAGAGGGAGGAACAAAGGAGGAGCGCAACTCACCCACATCGGATCTGGCAGTGTTGTGGCGGGAAAGGCGACTGGGAGTGCTTGGCGGCCGGCTAGGGGCCCTGGAAGGGGGTCGCGACGGCGACTTGTGGTAGAAGTAGAGCGGGACGAACGGGGGCGTCGATGTGCTGGGGGAGGTGAGGTTCGGAACTCCGAACGCCGACGA